TTTTATAACATAATCATGCAAATATTTTGCGCAACATGACTGTAAGCAAATTTAATTTTAATCCTCCGCGGCAGAAAAGTGCGTAGTTTGTTAATAACATTTTACATTTCAGTTTATTTGGTCAGCGAGATGAATCTCGATCCCTGTACCTCTTTCTGTCTCTATATTTTTAACACACTGTTCGCTAACTTTAATTAGCAATTTTTCTTTCATTTATTTTGCAAATAAAAGATATTGAATGTCTGCTAGCTAAAGTCTGTGTCTGTATATTTGAAAATTGAATGGTTATATAATTTTAGAAGATGAAAACTTTTATAATAAAATGTAACATTTTAACAAATCATCATAATTGTAACATAAATGTGTATTCTAATTAATTCAAAATAATTGTATCATAAATACATTCTGAATAATTGCATTATAAATGTATTCATCTTTGTAATATTTTGATCCTGTAAATAGGAAAGAAAGAAGCATAATTTTTATGGCGTTGTATATTAAAATGGCATTGAAATACAATTAAAATTATACAGAATTTTAAGAAATATTTTATCGGAAAGTTGACCAGAAAAAGGATAATCCTCCGTGGCCGCGCGATAAGAAGCTTATGGCGATTGGCACTGTGAAAAATTTCCTCCAAGTTTGAAAAATCACACGTAGCATTCTGTCGTGCGAGATACGTGCGAAAACATTTATAAGAGACGGCAGTTTACGATATCGTTCGACAATCCTACGGTGATCGAAGGATTCATCCCGGTGGTGAACAGTAGCAGAAAACGCTGAAGAAGGAAATTGAAAAATAGAGTCTTAACTGAATCCAACTATCTGTTACCCATCCCAATACACCGTGTTAAGAAAAAAGTTGACTACCCCCATCTGTGAGACGAGGTCGGGACGATGAGAGAGAAGGGCGAAGACACGAATTGGTTGGAAACTCCGATTCGATTTCGCTTCTGTTCCATCTTTCCTCACGCTGGTTGCTACCAGCGAGTGGAAACGCCGTGCGACGGTGTCGAAACGACAGCGTTTAAGACCGCTTATGACATATGAAACTTACCCCTAGGAGTTTCGAGAGTTTCGGCGTACATATATGTCACTCGAGATATGTTACGCAATTTCATCGTATTCTTATGTAAGTGAATTATTTGAATAATATGTAAGCTATTCTAAACAAAGTTAGACGAAAAATTGTTCAAAGAAAAGAAAATTAGGAAAGAATGTAAGAACTTTTTATTTTTATTCTAATTACCATCTATTTACTCTCTCATTTTTTAAAGGCCTCCCGTTACGCCTCTTTATATTTAAACCGTTGCGACTAATTGAGATTAATATGTAAAGATAATACAATGAATTAAGCGCAGTCAAGTAGAAATTAAATAAACGGATGATTAAGAAAAAGTACGATAGCAATATACAGTCCGTGTGTGAGAGATGCATTTAAGCAACGAAGCTAAACTCGACTTCAAAATTGGACCTTTCAAATAGAATATGGTAGTTTTTCCCGAATGAGATGCGCGAGGCGCAAGATGCATTCTATAATATCCAATTTGATATTATTGGATCTTGTCGCATTTCATCGGCGCTTTTTGCAATCGCGAAAAGCGTATTTATTCACAGCTCGATACGCTATTGAATCACGCAGTAGCGCACAATCAATTCCGGTTATTTACGAAGCACGCAAAGCGCACAGTATACATATACGCACACAGTCACGAAAAGAGGTCGAAAAAGGTCCAGTACAGTGCCTTTTGCCAATAATTCCTTGTTGACGCAAGAAGCAATCATCTGCATCATGTCGTGAATATTAAATCCGCGATTTCGCGCACGCCGATATCAGGCAGGTTCTCTTATAAAGTACGTTATAGGTTTCAAAACGTAAATAGAGGCAAAATTAAACTTGTTGGAAAAAAAAGGATATGCATAATATTTTATAATTTGAGACGAGTGTACATATAGGTACGCAATGTAGCTATATAATTTTATGACTAGCCGTGTTTCGTGGAATGAATTTTCGACGATTTTAAATTATTGCACATTAAAACTCGATTTTGTTTCCACTAAATCTGCATATATATCTTGATCTGCTTGTACTAAACGATTGTCACAATGATTTGTTTTATCCAACGATCATTATCATGAATAATACCAATCTGTAATAATTTATTGGATTATTAAACGATATAGCGACATACGTTCAGATTTGTAACAAACTCAAATTCTCTTTAAATATCGTATATCTGAATTTGTTTTTCATAGAGAATGCATGATTTCGAAAGTGCAGATACGTTAAATCGTTTTAGATGAACAGTTACGCCGGAGTCCAATCATGTTTCACAGTCCCGAAGCGTACGGGCTCAAAGACATTTAATTTCGCTGTTTCTCGTTATACGTACCCGTGATTTCCCGAGTGATGCGGACAAAGGAAAAATCACGTAGCAAACCAGTGCCGGCCAGATACGCCAGGAAACATAAATAACGTCATAAAATTTAGATTCGAAGAGCAAATAATGCCGCGGGCCGTGTCTTAACGATTGCGATATCAAAGAGATGACCGTTGGATCAAATTCCTTTGATTCTTTGATAAAATAACAAAATGCCGGTGCTGTCATCCGAGAAACGCTCGTTTAAATCCGATAGTTATGTTATACCACTAAGTTATGCGAGGAATTGCCAAATATCCGATTATTTGGAAAATTCCCAAACTATTTCGTGAATTAGCAATATCGATCGATCGTGACAGAGGGAAACGGTTGTTATCGTACACCCCAACGGTTACAGAACCGTTATAGCATCAGCTCATTAGCATTTGAAACAAAAACCTTAATGACTCAAAGGATGATAATCGTAATCGTAATCCTTTCTCGTTAATAAATAAGCGAATTTCTCGTTTATAAATGTGCCTATAATTTATAATGTGAGTAAAAAAAAATTATTGGTTTTATATATTAGGAAATGATCGCGATTGATTCGCGATATATCAAAAGCAATCATTGATTTAAATTCCTTGTTAAGCCTTTGATAAAATAAGAAAATGCTGACGATGTTATCCGAGAGACGCTCTTCTGAATTCGATATAGTTATATTAAGACCGCTAAGTTATACGAGAAATTGCCAAAATATCCGATTGAATGAAATGACTTGCATTTAATTGTACCAAATTTTTCTATCATTGCTATCGCGTTATTGTGATTGAATATACCTACATTATTGATGCGCCGTAGCGCGTAAATGATATGATATTCGTCGAAGTCGTACGGTTCGTCGGAGACCACGCGAGGCGCGAGAGTGGATGGAGATTAATTCCAGCGCTAATTTAGCGGTAGGTATAGCAAATGCTCCGGCTGAAGTGTCCTCCCGGGTAAGCTCTGCGCCTAGAGCCGCAAATGAAAGTCACGCTCCACGTAGTTAGGTCGTTTTCTTTCTCCCCTTCTGTCATCACCCTTCTCGCCTCGCAGGCGTAAAAAAAAAATTGTTGGCCGAGCCAACGTAACAAAATTTCCGACAGAATTATGCCACTTCCGCGACGATTCGTGCCAAGTGCGCTTTGGTTGCACACGACAGCGTGTCAGAAAAAAAAGTAGATTAATCAATAAATAGAGGAAATTTTATTTTTTACATGTAAAAATAGTCTTTCAAAGATTGAATATCTGGCAAAATATTTTTTACAATTAATATAAAAATTTGTTATAAGTTATTTTTTTATATACGGAAAATACAGATTTAAGATCATTATTTCTCAGATAATATAAAATAAATCTTAATGTAACATACAGTTTTAATTTAACACTTTAATCATAAAATAATTTCTGATTAATTATTTCAACAATCTTTTAATGTATTTAATCAATATAATTTCTCTTAATAATTTTTCAATTTTAAATGCTTAATAAAAAAATATTGACCTAACAAATTGTCAGAGTTGTCGACCTTTGGTGAAACAAAAAACGCTTATATTTAAAAATAATTAATTAAATAAATTTATGGATATTATCGGTTTCATTTCATGATTTATAGAAAGTTAATGAATGAACAATTAATATTGACAATTTCAAATAAATGGAATCTAAATTTTTTAATTAAATTAAATTATCAATATCTGTTGATTTCACACAGCAATTTAAAAATATATAGAAATTTGTTAATACTGATTAATATTCTTTATTTCTTCATGCATTTCCAATTCTTCAGGCTTTTCTTTCTTTCATTTTTCCAGGTATTCTCGCATAATTCAAAAGTAACATCTTATAATTCATTTGATTTTTTAAATTTAAATGTTCCACAGATGCATAAAAGACTGAACAGTAAAACTGTGATATACAATTAAGGTCTAATTTATATGATTTTTATTATAGCAACTAGCATGCTAATCTTCTAACAAACTAGAAAATTAGGGACCGGTCCGCCAATCCCGATTAACGTAATCTGATTAACTTTATCACTAGAATTGCAAATAGCAAGACTTCAAAATCTATCTTAATTTCTAATCTATTTATGATTTTAAAAAATGTATTGTGGATAATAATAAATCAGGTCAGAGATGATAAGAAATGAGAATAAGTAAAAAAAAATTAGGATATGAAATTATAGGTGCAGAAATTAGAGATGATAAATTTTTAGCAGTTGACAACCCTTAAATTTAATCGACCGACCAACTCGACGTTGATGAGACCGTTAATTCTAGCAAGTAAAAAATATAATTTATAGAATTATATATATTTTTTTAGCCGCTATATAGTTTGCTAGTTCACTAGAAGACCAACACGCTAGTTGCTAACAAAGAAGTGTCCTATAAATCAAGCTCAGAAGATCGCAAAAAATAAATTATTAAAAATAAAAATATTTCTAAAATTCTGCATTATCATTATTCAATTCGCTCGCGATCACGCAGTTAGACGCGTTCAGACCAGATGTCGCTGTCGGCGAGTTCAGCAAGAGTTCCTAGCTAGGGATTCTAGTTCAGCACACAGGACTTCGTAAATGCAACGCCTGCTCCCTGGCTGTTGAGAGCCAACGAGCGATCGGGACACACGCCATGTTTGTGTTACAGCCAGCGTTGTAGATGGTGTGCGTGGCGCGGGGTGCGCGGGTATACGTGTGTTGTCTCCGCGTTATTTTTCTCGCGTGCCGTGCGGTAATGCTCGTCCGTTTATTTACGTAGCGTCGCGACGCAGAGTGGAAAGGACCCCCGATTCGCGTGGCCCGTCGATCGACGCGACGAGGAGCGCGGCAGCGAACGCCGCCGCGGTGAATCCGCCGCCGCTGTAGCCGCGCACGCACGCACGCAACAACCGGGGTGACCGCGAGCTGATCTCGGACGCACACTCGCGACTCGCACGGCTAAATGCGACCGCCGTTTCGCCTGCGGTGGTTGTTTACGGGTAGGCCCGCGCCGTCGTAGGCCGCACGGAGGTCCGCGTGGAGCGCGCGGATTTCTAGGAACGCAACGTCGTCGCCGTCGTCATCGTTATCGTCGTCGTCGTTGTCGCCGTCGTCCTTTCGTCAGCGACCGCAGCGCGACTCGACGCGCCACACTATGTCGCGCTAGCGCGTGCACTTGTGCTGTGTTTTATAACCTGACAACACGAGCGAAGTACTTCGTCCTGTACATCTCCTTTATTTATCATGCCGTTGCATCTTTGACGAAAACATTATCAAGCGGTAAGACCTGGGCTCGCGACTCTCGTTGCAACTCTTTGTCTCGATCTCGTCTCTCGCTTGGCTGGTCCTAGCGACGCGACGCGCCGACCATTGTTTAGATACCTAGAATCTTCATCACAAAGATCAAAACTAACTGGACCAAACGTCTCGGACGAGGCACATGGCTTGCTCGCATGTTAAAACAAAGATCATTGTTGTCTTAAGATCGTATTTATTGATATACTTTCCGTAGACGGGTTGGCTCGCTGTTTTCTTATTTGATTATACATTACATTATTTTAGAAACACGTAAGAATGATGCAAGATTATATTATTATTGATACAGGTATTTACCACGTGATGTTTGCAGGTGCATACTTAATTTGAAAAGCTATCAAAATGTGGCAAACACAAAGTAGTAATAATTCTAATGCGAACTCCGCGTCAAGTGAAAAGAACAATTTACGCACTCTGGGGATGACGTCAGCCATAAGTGTAGCTGAACCTAAGCCCATGGACATTGCCAGAACCAACGAATTGAAGGAGGCCCTGAAACCCTACAATGTTTTCGAATCTGAAGAAGAACTGAACCATAGAATGGAGATTTTAAGGTATATCGAACGAATATCGTTTATAAATATCTACATACAACATAATTGCAATATTTTGTATTGTAGAACTGCTATTGCTTTTATTGATAATAAAAGTACGACTATATTTATCAAATATTGAAATCTGTTCTTGCAGCAAACTGAACGCATTGGTTAAACAGTGGATAAGGGATACGAGTATAGCTAGAAACATGCCACCCAATGTGGCCGAACAAGTGGGTGGTAAAATATACACGTTCGGTTCATATAGGTTAGGTGTACACCACAAAGGCGCCGACATTGACGCGTTATGTGTTGTACCGCGTCATATATATAGATCGGATTATTTTACGTCCTTTTTCGAATTATTGAAAATGCAGGAGGAAGTCACAGATTTAAGGGTACGTAAAATACGAGAATATATAATACTATTATGCATGCCTTATTAAATATACATATTTCTTCAGAAGAATTGCTTGCATGTGTGGTATATTATATAATTTGTATAATATATTCAATCATAAAACGCGTTTAGTAAAAGAAAATTGATTATTCATTAAAAAAATTGAACAATCAAGAAATATACAATAATCTGATATATATTTAATATTTATTTAATGTTTACGATATTTTTTTATCACATTGTAGGCAGTAGAAGAAGCCTTTGTACCAGTTATAAAAATGAACTTTGATGGTATAGAAATTGACATGCTATTTGCGAAGTTAACTCTTAAGGAAATTCCAGATTCGATGGTTAATATTTTATATTTATATAAGAACAAAATACACTGTGAAGCTTACGTTCTGCAATACATTTTTATAAACCTTTGTAGGATCTCAGGGATGACATGCTGCTAAAAAATCTCGATCAGAAGTGTGTCAGAAGTCTTAATGGTTGCAGAGTGACGGATGAAATATTGCGTTTAGTACCTAATATAGAAAATTTCAGATTGGCTCTTAGAGCTATAAAATTATGGGCGAAACGTAAGTTTGTGCATTACTTTAAATATTGTTTTATTAACGCATAATGTGTTAACCTTGCTTATCGTAATATACACTTTTTATTTCTAGGACATGGCATATATAGCAATGTCTTAGGTTATCTTGGTGGTGTATCTTGGGCAATGTTAGTCGCTCGGACGTGTCAGCTTTATCCTAACGCCGTGGCTGCAACTTTGATAGAAAAATTTTTCCTTGTATTCTCTCAATGGAAGTGGCCACAACCAGTACTTTTAAAACAACCTGACAATGTCAATTTGGGTTATCCAGTTTGGGATCCAAGAGTAAGAATCATGTTTTTTGTATTTTATAAATAAATGTTTCAAATATAATGCACAGTATTAAGGCGATAATATTATAATAAAATTTGTGTATAAAGTATACGATTATTTTTGTCTACTCAACAAAACACTTTTTTTGTAGGTGAACGTGTCAGACAGATATCATCTAATGCCAATAATCACACCAGCGTATCCTCAACAAAATTCTACTTTCAACGTATCCGTATCAACCAGAACTATCATGCAAGAAGCATTTGAAAACGGACTAGCCATAACTGAAGAAATTATCATGGGTAAAGCAACGTGGGACAAGTTGTTCGAGCCACCAAACTTCTTTGGCAAATACAAGCATTACATTGTATTGTTAGCCAAAAGTTTAAGCGCGGAAGATCAACTTGAATGGTGCGGCCTTGTCGAGTCGAAAATACGACACTTAATAGGTAAATCAAATATAATCGAATATATTTACAAGAAATATATATGTATTATTTTTCTTTTCATAAAAATACTTCATTTTTTATCACATGATAATTTTACTTAACATCTGTGAGATACAAATTGATATATTGAAATATTGTGAAAACCGAAATAAATTTCGATGTATTTAATTTAACGCATTACATGAAACAACAGATTAACATGATGTTATTGATATCTAAAACTTATAAAAATTAATTCCTTAAAAAATTATTGAATTATAACTTTAATATACTTGCTTTTTCATTATTACTTTTTTATTTTGTTGTTTATCGCGTACAAGATCGTAGATTAAAATACGTTATAAAAATAGTTTTGAATACGAACCAAAAGTTGAAATAAATTATAATAGTTTTTCAGGAAAATAAGGAGCAGTTCTTAGTCTTTGCTTTAGTATGTGTCTTGTAATGTTAAAATTGTTTATATATACATATTTTTACATGTATGTATTACGATACTAATAATCCGCGGGTGCCAAATTGGCAAAATCATAACCATTCTCACAGGTATGTTGGAAAGGAATCCTCATATTACTTTGGCACACGTCAATCCGGAGGCGTTCCCACCATTGAACCCCGAATCGGGCAAACAATGTTCTATGTGGTTTATCGGCCTGGCTTTTGCTAAATGTGAAAAGAGCGAGAAAAGCGAAAAAGGCGAGAATATCAATGTTGACCTCACATACGATATCAAATCCTTTGTGGATACAGGTAGGATTATAAATCATTTTCATGATTATAAATCATAAAAATTTAGAATATATAATCGTATATATGTATCTCTTACAGTTGAGAGGCAAGCAGAACAAATAAATATGTTCAAAGAAGGAATGTGGATTGAGGCTAAACATGTAAAAAGGAAGGACTTGCATACTTATGTATCGCCAACTTTACTGAAAAAGGAAAGGAAGGTACAGAAAACGTAGTCTAGTAACAGTCTAGTAAACATATTAGTTTTATATTGCTACATAACGTTTGCATATATATTATGCGAGAGAACATAGCGGGGCTGTGAAACTTAGCGAGTATTTTATTAGTCATTTACGGTAATCAAATTATTGATTAATAATACAGTAGTCTCTATAATTTTGCCCTACGGGACGGTAAGAACGGAATGCCAAAATATAGAACACTCTCATCACACGCGAATCGACAAGTCACACAATCTTTATACATAATCTCATTGCATTGCCTTGCCCGCTATGACATGGAAGGGGCATGAAATTAGTGTTTGTAGAAAGTGCGTGTGAAAAATGCAAAGATTAAAGGAGCCAAAGTTAGAGAGACTCTAATGTGTATATATATTATATAACATACATTAATTAATTGCAATTTAAGATTCCTAATTGCACTTACCACACACAATTTATGCAGGTTTCTAGCGGTGTGCATCGGAACGGTAATATTGCTGGAAATGGAAACAGTGGTAGTGTATCGCCACGGAATCAAGGTGATACAAGTGGCAGGAAGAGATTGTCGGATCAGTCGCTCGATGCATGTGGAAAAAAGCGGCGAATCAATGAGGCGGAAGAGCAAGTGGGTAGCATATATGCTATAAAATACAGTCGAAGGAAAAAAGAAGATATTTTCAATTTATCTAGAATTAAATGTAACATACTATTTACATCATTTGAATGAGTTTAATCCTTTTATAGACAGAGAATACATCGTTAGTCGGTCAATCTTGTGGAGAAGATAGCAATTCTGGTTTCAGTATGGATGAATACAAACAGAATCTATCAACTAATAAGGACGTAAGACATTGTACATATAACGAATAATAATCTTTATAAGGATAAGATAATTAAACAAAAATGAAGCATAGTAAGTGAAAAATTTTAATTTATCACGAAGTTTTTTTTTATTCCTCCATCTCGCCAGGTAAAGAAAAGGGTAGGCACATGATAACACGTTAACAGCTTTAATTATTTGCTTTTTTTATTTTATATTTATCTATTGGTATATTTCCTTTTGCTTAATACTGAATTTTAAATATGTAAAAACGTAAGCATTATATTTATCAGTAGCAATTCACTGATTTCGTGATTATGAAAAATATTCTGAAAACTAAAAAAATAGGGAAGTTTATGCGCCATAGTAATTTATATATAGCCTTTTTATTTCATGAAGGCGCTCAATCGTAATTGCAAATATATATTTCAACGAATGGAAAATGCGTTGAGATAAACTCGGCACTTTATTGACAATAATTAATAATATAATTCATTCTTCCTTGATGTACATCTGTTTAGGAAGGACCTACTAGTGCGACTACAGTAGCGCAGGAAGGATTCGTATGCACTTGATGATCATCATGGGATTACTATCTCACGTCAATCCACAGATGCTCCTCCGGGTCATCTAGACTGTAAACATTTCTCATGCAACCATCCACTGCCCACTGTAAGTCCTTCGTTTCGTAAAAGCAAAACAGCGTCACGCAATGGAGGAAGCTGTCCAGGTGGAATCAATCAATTAATGACAATTTTATGTGTTTATGTGAAACACTATAATTAATAGTATTATAAAGAAAGGGAAAAAAACATCGACAGTCAATGGGAACAATTACGCTGGAGCTTAAGTGATTGTGCCAGTGTCTGTGATGTCTCATTTACATCATGGAGTAATAATTTTGAGACACACATAGTTGAAAAATTTGCCACCATGAAGGTTAAATCTATTTCGCTTAGAAACAATAGTAATCATACTTTTTATATTTCCTTTTTGTATATATATATATACATATATATCATTTACCTTAACTCTTTTTTTATCGATAAACACTTGAACAAGGAACTTAAGATTTGATAATACTTGATGTAACATAATTTTACATAATTTACATGACGAGCAGGAATAGTTCGATCGAGAAAATTACATGTATGGAAATTTCCGTATTTTGCGAGTGTTTCCGCATGTTAAGAAAAAAAAAACACAAAATATAAAATATATTCTTGTATAGAGTGCGTTTTTATAATGCACTGTGGAATATGCTTTAAAAATGCATATGCGTACGAGTTTAGTTGTAAGTAGCTCTGATATACTTTTATTACTCATAACAAACGCAAGAGTCACGTGCCGTGATCTGCCTGTTTAAGGACTTGCAAACAGTACTGTACTGTTAGCGTTTTAATACGCTTTTACTGTTTGTACTAAGTATGAACTATTATTTACGCGATACTTAATGTTGCTATTATTTATAAGGATTAGATGTTCCATGCAAGTTGCAAAATAGGAATATTATTTGCTCGCGAAGCTTACCATTGTACAATATAAAGAAAGACACTAATAGTTTGGCTTCATCACCTCTTTCGCTATACAACTGTAATGCAATCGATAATGTAATTGCATTACAGAAGGATCACCGACACTGGCATAAACTCCCGGAGGATGTTTCATTTACAAAGTTTACGTAGATAGTAGTCACTAAGAAGATAAGAAATAGAGACTTGCAAATGAAACATCCGAAGTAGGCCATTGACTATCTTATTGACAATTATGTTGCGTGAAATAGTTTCGTACGGAGCCGCCTTTTAGTTTTTGCTCAGAAACAAAGTTGTAGCTTTAAAACGAATTAGAAACGGGCTTAGACACTTGGATGATTGAAACCACCTGTCACCAATCGGTGAGTTTTTTCAGGTGTTCAACTGCCTTCGCTCCCAGTCTACGGCTCTGATCCTTGAATCTGATTCCGATTTACCTTCTCGCCTATTACAGTCCTCAATTCGTGTGTTAAAGGCATGTCCACTAATCGTATGCTACAAGGTATTTGATGTTCATTCTTTGGTACTTGTAAACGAAACTCTTGCGAATACCGCAGTATATGCAGAAATCAGGTACTTGCAGAGTAATATTGGCAAGTTGAAAGATTTCAATGACGCAATTCGTATTAGCATTGAGAAATATGAGAAGAAATATCACTTCTCTTTCCTGCATAATCGACATCGCTAGCAACTCGATTATTACGTTGGAATTTTTATTAACGCGATACATAAAACTTAATAACTACCAATTAAATTTTAAGTACATGAAATTCTTGATTATAATGCTTTGCAAGTGTCATGATTTAATGTTCAGTGATTAGGAATCATTCCGTTACTTGTACATATTCTCGTAGATACACCTGAGGTGATAGGTTTCACTCTTTCAAAGCTTGTCTTATCAAGCCATTTTATTTATTGATCGGGATACGCGTTTTCCTGTTTACTAAAAAAAAAGACAACAGTAATAGTGCTGCCTTATTTCTTCGCTTTTTCATGGATTCACGCTAATTTTATGCTTGAATCTGGGATTGAGGTGTATTACGGTACCGTATAAAGAAGATAGTTGGTTTGATCGATCATAGACCCTTTCGCTTTCCACACGTATTGACATAATACGATTAAAAATACGAACCTTTTTTTAAAAAAAAAAAGAACCATGCATGAAATTTACAGCGAATTCGTTCAGATACATCAGTGTACGTAAATGTACTTATCGAATTCGTTATTATATATGGTATCATGGAATAGCCATGGGTTTATTTTGCAATGATCGGTATCGTTCGTAATTGCCCTCCCTTATAGATTTCATGTGAAAGGGGAAGGATATATTTCCCTATAGATTTTATTTTTAATAATCATTCATGATATATTAGAAATCATTTGATTCGCAACATACAAATGAAATCGGGCAGATTCGCGTGTTGAAATGAGATCACTTTATTTTTTACCTTTAAAACATCGCCTAACTTTTCAAACTTTTTTTTAATTACAGAGTCTTCTCTCTCGAAGTCATTTCACTAAAACTTACTCAATATTTTTTTTATTTAATACGTACAGGTATGCATAACGTATTGCGATGCTCGTACATAGTAATGATAATACCTCATTTGTCCGTAAATATCTGTCTATAAAAATCCTTCGTGATTGTGTTGTATAAGAAAATTTTAGTGTGTTATAAGACTTGTTCATTCATCGACATATCAAAATATCGGACATCTTTTGTTCTGCAAACAAAATTATTTTATATTTTTCTGTAAACAAAAATATTTGTAGCTCCTGTATTTTCCTAAATTGATCGTCTAATCTTACTTTGCTAGATCCAGGATGTGCTTTGTGCGAAGCTCAGATACTTTAATAAATAGGATTTTTACGCACTATTTTGAAAGAAACATTTTGTTCGTGCATACGTATCTTTTTTTTGTTATAATTAACGTCTTTCTTGTACAAATATGAAGTTTTTTAAGTTTATGCAGCTTAGGATACGCTTAGGATCTCTATTTCGCGACAAAAGAAACGTCGCATTGTCTTCAACAAATTGGACGATTCATTCATTTTGCCATATAATTCATTAACATTTAACGATATGAAGATGTGTGAATGTATTTACGATCACGCACATATACACGCGCACGCTTATAATTGTAACTAACAAAGTTCAGTTTGTGGAGACAAGTAATGTGTATTTTTTTACACGGAAAGAAACGGTTTTGCTGAAATATCTGAAAATTTAGCTAGAGCTATAGATGAAATAATTTTAAAAATAATCTTGTTGCACTATAAAAATAATTATGTAGAATGGTTGAATATCAAAACTTTGTGCAGCATTATCAACATACTTCAGCGTGCTACATAATTATTTTAATGGTCCAAAATTATTTTCAGATACTGTATTTAGCTAAATTTTTAGAATGTCTAGATAGAAATTAGCAAAACCGTTCTCTCCGTGTAGCATGGAACAATTGAATCCCGCGAAGCATATTGATTATGGTGCAATATATGATTTTTTTTCTTATGAAGTCATTTTTTTCTTTTAGTTAGAAAATAACATCGATTAATCGAAGAACTTCGCGAATTCACATCTCGAATGGTATTATGCAATAAAATATAACAAAGGCACTCATCAATATACATGGATTGCATATTCACTTCACAAATATATGTTAAAATTTGTTTAGCTTTTTCATCCACATTCATTAATATTCATATCAAATATGACCATTATATGTAATTATGAAGAAACAGGATAGTTAAGAATCTCATGATGGTTTATGTGAACGAACGTATCAAAATTTATAGAAATTCTCCGTTCAGGCGAGAGTTTGGAGTTTGGACTAATACAATTTCTCAAATCTTTCGGGACAAATTTCTCTATTTAATTTATACGTATTTCTTCCTATGTCGCCGCGTGTCGCGCACTCGAGTTACTGTGATCATTATTGCCACTAATGTCATACGATTCACGATAACGTTGACGCTTCTGCCGCTATTCTTTCACATGTTTCATAATCACTCTCGAATTACCCCATCACAAAGCAATATTTCAGCTTTACTGCCATCGAAGAAATGCACGCGTGCGCACCACCAAACGATTCTCGATCATAAATGCCATGGTATTCGAACCTGTCGTAGAACTCCCTTTCATCACACTTAATAGTACGTATCAATTTCCCCGTACTATCGACTCTTATTGCACTAATCCCCGATCGTCCATTGCAGCACTCATTGTCGCGATACATTAAACTCCCGCTGACTAATCGTCCGTGTATTCCTGACACGTTAATCACCGCTATCTCCTAAATTCAAACTTTCAGGGACTGTATTATACTTTGCACAGCTTGAACGAAAATTTAGGCGTGCGGTAAGAAACCATTGTTATAGCACGATGGCTAGAAAGACGAGGTACCTGTCGGCGAATGGAGGCCGAGGATCGCGAACAGTGAACATCAATGTTATCCTTGTACGCCAAATCTCATTTCCTTTATTGATTCGCGGTTGTCACACGCGCCCGATTCGTACCTCCTCCCTCTTCTCTCTCTTTCTCTCTCTCTCTCTCTCTCTCTCTCTCTCTCTCTCTATCTCGGAGATAGCTAGACATGTCTGTAGCACATTCTCAATCTCCGCCATTAGCCTCTCCCTCTCCTGAAAACCACCACCGTTGGCCGACGTGGGCGTCTTGCAATTTCGATAGTGCGGCAGGGGGGAGATAAACAGGAAGGGAAACGCTACGTCTATCATTCGCAATCTTATCTTTTATTATATATAGAAAAAAAAGGGAGAGGAAACACGAGGCAGAAATGGGAAATACGCGCTGAAGGAGAGAAAAAAAAAGAAGTCATACGCGAGGACCTATGTCGCGGGAAACGCGGAATCGATGTATACGATTTTCTCGCGCGGATGTTGTACGGATGTTGCGCTGGAGATCTCTCACGTCCTTATGTCACGGCGGTCGAAACCTTTTTTTTTTTTTCCTCAAGATGTGATACGTTCAATTATATCGAAATCACACGCGAAACACCGTACGCGCAGAAATCTTCATGAGTTTATGCAACGCGTATACAATCGCAATTCTCTTGTCCGATGAGTTACTGTAAAATAAATTATATTTTGTACGTGCATCGACTGTACGGGCTCGTACGTGATGCACTTCTGCGAGCAATCGCATACATGATACGTCCGCGAAATACGCTTTCTCCATTTCTTTTTCTCTCTGGCGAATGCTATTTTTTTTTCTTTTTCGAGTATTCTCATGAAAATTCGAATGCGTTGGCCGTGCGTGCCTCACCCGCGCACACGCGGCCCACGCAGATCGGTGAACGCTGTGTGCACGCGCGCGCGATAACGATCCGTTGCGCACCCGCGATCGGCAATAGCACAAATGGAAAAAAGATAGAACGAGCAAGGACATGCATAATTTGTATCCTGTGAATATTGTACACTCTGTATCTCTTCTGAATAAACGAAAATAAATTTTCTTTCAACTCCTTCAGCCAAAAAAAAAACAACGGAACATCGGTCGTATTAAAGCGGAACGATTTGAGTTGACGTCAGTGAATTGTTTTAAATTACGCGTGGTCGTTCTGTTTTGCCATGACCGACAGATCTTTTTTCTCATAAATATATCCTGTCCATCGTCCCAGGTATTACAACTATCTTAACTAATGCTTAATATTGTGTGTGCAGTCAATTATGGTACAAATTAACCCTTGACGTTCCATTAATATTTTCCGTTTGAATGACAGTCTTGTCAACGATTATTATCAATTGAGCTGTAAGTGTTGCATAATTTACTGCACATCACGTAGGCACTTTCAAGATATAATTAGATTAATTTAAAAAATCGTATTGTGTGCAATTCTGCAAGATTTATTATGTAATAACAATATTTATTACAAATAATATAATATTTATTATTGCCGAGTAATATAAATTGTAGAAACAGGTAAGTATTTCTACATATACGCTATCCACACGTCAAATAATAACACTATTGATGCCGATATTTTAAAAAATAAGTATCTTTATTGTTCGCAAGAAAATGAAAATTTTGTACGTTTGAAATTGCATTACGCGATGATTCTCGAGACCGAGGTGTACCATGAACGCCTTTATGATCTGCAACAGAGCGCAGCTTATACCTCTTAATTCTCCTTGCAGTTTATTTATAGGTAAATTAAATGAACCAGAAACACAAAGCGGTCGCGCTTCAGATATCCATAATTGTCCTATTGGAAACATTCGCGAAGATGATCGGAATTACCGTGCCGAACGTTTCCAGGGAAAAGATATAAAACTTTCCGGCCGTTAAGTATAACGGCTTTCGCGATCGAGCAATGCATATTATTAGAAGACGTACTAGTTTGTAAAGTAACATGTCTGATCGAAAGCTGTGAAATGATACATTAAATCAATATTTTTTTTACTAAATTGTGTGAATTACTAAGTCATATGGTTTTTTTCCGAACTAAATAAACCCGAAGAGATTGGCGCGCATAGAATCAAATTAAGATATTTTTTTAACATTTTCTTAAGACTTAGAAATGACACGCTAAAATGTAATATCTGAGATATCGTAAATTATTTAAAAATTACGAATTACTAATTAATGAATTAATGTGATTGTCAAAATATAATTTCCAGTACTTTAAAAGTGAACTTCGATTCTGACTTGAATAAGTTGAAATCAATCTCTCGTTTTTCGTCAAATGCTTCTGATCCGATGACACAGCTGACCTCATCGATAATATGTCAGATAGACTAACATTCTAACCGCAGCAATTGCGTTGATGCACAAGAACATGTTGGGCGGTATTAAAATAAAATCGCGCAAAATAGAGCGTAAATGCGTGTCTCCGATATGTCATGCAAACGGCAGCTCGTACGGAGGAGTACAGTTGCCGGAACCAGTCGAAGAAGTCATAGAAATTCTCCGTTATTTATAAGATAACGTCGGACCATAATCTCCGCTAGAGATTTTAATGCACGGGATCGTGAGATATTACAGGGATTAGAAAGCAAATTGTGCAAACAAAGCATTACTTCATTTGTTTATGTAATCCTTTATCCGATCTTTCTACGACCTATACTAAATTCCTTGAAATGCTATAAATTTTTAATAAAGATCGCTTGAAAGATTACTGTTTAAAATTTTAAATTTTGTATGATGTACTCACCGAACAGAATGCAATTAAAAATCAATTTTTGAAAAACAATAGGTACAAAAAACGTTGACATTAACTGAATAAACAATGTTGATTGCATCGAATTATTTTACTTTTCTCACCGGAATTACGATGACGTTGTTTCCTCATTTATTACAATGAGAAATAATCCTTTACAAAATTTTACATTGTATTGTTTTAATGACGGGATGCGACATTCGTAATTTTTGAGATTGCAAGAAATTAAGAATTCTGCAGCCTCCGCGGTAAGTCTTATTTACGCACGTTACTATGCTTATGAGCGAGGGAGGCTAAGATTGGAAGAAATACGTACAAAGGAAAGCTCCTTCAGGGTCGACGAAGAGCGCGTGTGCAATACATTGGAGCTTACATCATGAGCAAACGGATTCAACTAGTGTCATGCAGTTGGTGTCCTGAGTGCTAGCCAGTTACACGACATCCACAAAAATTTCAGTATAGTGATATTCGAGTACCAATATTATTTATTCTTCGCCTAAATCTTAAGTTTATAATTATATTTGAAAAATTAAATTAAATTTTGCAAATAAAAGCAGCAAACATATTAAAAAATCATGAGATATAAGCACATTGTTCTCGTCGGTGCATCACTAATTACAACACTTTGTTTGCTTTCTGGACTCGTGTATTATTTCAATCAAGGTATGATTATTATATACTTACAAATTAATTTATTTAAAGCAAATCTCATTAATTTTCGTTACTCCAAAGAATTTTCCAAGATTGCGACTTTGGTATATATTTATTTCTATAAGATATTTTAACGAAAATCGATAACTTTAAAGAAAAAAATAAAATGTTTAAAAAGTTTTAATTAGAATTTTCTTAAATTACATAAATATTTTCTGAATTTTTTGAAATTATATAAATATATATAAATATTGTTGGCAGTTTTGATGGAGAAAGAATTTGTCTGAAAATACAATAGAAATTTCTTATTTTTTCAATTCGGAAGGAGTATCATATTTCTCATATTTTTTCGGAAAAAATCTACTTATGTACGATAAATATTATAAAAAAAGAAAGAACTGTGTATATACTTTCTATATAAAATTCTTATTTATTATTTGCGGTTATACATAAATATCATTCCTTTCTTCATTATATAACAGTTTATACATAAGTGATTTGAACGTTTGCGAATATTACATATGCAGACTTCTTAATAACTATTTTCTATTCCTTAGCACGTACACGCTGTTTTTTACAAGATAAAAATGCGTCTTTCGACATATTCTCGTGAAACTGAAGGTTACTAAATTGTTTCTATAAATAAAAACGATAGTATATATTAAATTTATTTATTTTTAAACCATCGTCAGCATATGTAATAAACTGTCTCGTGATAAACATTTTCGTGGAAGAACAATTCTTACAACTTTACGATATACAGTTCATTAAGACAATGTAATCAAGAATATATCTATATTAACTCTGATATATTTTCATATGTTAACATATTTCAGATAAATGTCCCATCGGTACCTTTCAGTGTCTCAACAGCACCACGTGCATGCCACAACGTAGCTGGTGCAATGGAATCCCGGATTGTCCACACAGCGACGACGAATCCACAGAAATTTGTTGTGTGTATCAAATCTTATTTATATATTAATACTTATCACAATTTTTGCCCGGGTTTTAATTTCTATTCGAATTTGCTTACAATTCTTTAGTTACAAAATTAAATTGTTATTAAATTTCTGGTATGGCAGTACAAGAAAATTCGATTGTTTCACTAATATTCGTTACTCCATTTTAATAACAGACACATATATTTCTCAGTGAGAAACTCATCGAATTGATGTCGAACCATCGATACCGATGATTACGATGATTTCAATTTGACACAATTCGATGTCTAATTGACGGTCATTTCTCACTGGGTTTATCTTAGTAGCACTCATTAACTTTCATCCACACAGAAGGAGAAAGATTATCGTAATTTCTAGATTCAAAAATAGATTTCGCTTCCTAATCGATAAATTTGCTACGCAGTTGACATGCACGGAAACTGGGATTGGTTTATGAAGGAAAGGGACTGGGGAAACTCAAAGAATTGCGGTAATATCATAAAGTACGCGATAGAAATACGCGATATTTATGATTTTTAAAAATTCCTATATTTTTCGTCGCAGATACATTCGACGCACCAGCTGAATGCACCTACGACGCGTGTCGTGCGACTTGCACGAATTATACTGATATGCCCAAAATCTTATCATCGAACGTAACAGCAATGTACGTTTTATAGAGAAAAATATTGTTATCGTAATATCATTTTTTCATATACGACATAGAATTAATGTGTTTCGCGTACGATAACTTAATAATATTAGCGATTGAAAACGATTGATTTGCTTGGTTATTGGGCAAATTTACATCAATTAAATGTGTATTCTCTGAATGATATTATTAATTACACTAATAATATAAATGACTTCTGCAGTTTCCTAACCGACAACTCGCTCACGCACTTATCTCGTGATGCATTATCGAGATATCCGGAGATACGCTTGTTGTAAGTTATCCTTGCGCTACAATGTCTTTGCTTCGAGATGCAAGATATAAAAAAACTTTATAATACTCTGCACACAAAATAAAACCTTTTACAGTTTTCTATAATTTCAGATATCTCGACAATAACAATATAGTCAAATTAGAAAAGGGAGTCTTTCTCCATCAGTCTAACTTGTTTTGGTTGTGAGTACACGTGTCTCAAATTAAATAATTTGTAACACTTTGAAAAGTATCTGCAAATACGTGTAACGAAACTTGTTATGTGTACAGAATTCTCACAAATAATAGCATCAGCGAAATACTACCGGGACATTTAACGGGACTGAATAAATTAGAAACTCTGCTACTGGATCAAAATAAAATTGTGACGGCAGATTTTTCTGACCTAGAAGACAGCACTACTGCATACTTGATGTATAAACTGTCTCAGGATACATATATATATATAATTATTTGATGTTACTTTGCTACTATGTTAAAATACGAAAAATTATGGACGATCTCAACCTGTTAACTTTCCATCATTTGTCAAATAAAACTTACTTTCTAATTGTTATATATATATATATATATATAACGTTCTTTTTAGTTAATACATGTTATAATATGTATACTTATTTAACATTATTATTTGAAATCTTCCGCTCCACTTATATTTATTGTTCATAAATTTCAGAGATGTGTGATTCTTATACACAGTAAAGTTTGTAAGATCAACCACTAATTTCCGAGTAATCTAATCCATGTACGATAAGCACGCTTATTATTTACTATGTAATATA